TTGATGATGGAGAGACTTTGTTCTTACATGACATGATGGAGGCACTTTAATTTGTATCTATTTTATTGTTCCAATCTTTGATAACACTAAATAATCATTGTTCAACTTTTCTTATAAATTACTTAACCTTAAATATGATTGGAAATTATGTTACAAATTTTCTTTTTACATTTCTGTTGTTGAATTTGATTGAAATGACATGATAGTATCTATGATATAAAAACAAATAAACAAAAAAGGAATATATCATGGCACGTAGTACAGATAAAATTGTTATTTGAAATTTATAAATTCACGATTATAATTCTGTTAAATTACTGAATTTTAAATTAATAATTTATACAAAATAATGTATTTGGACCAAGTTATTAAATTATTTGCTGGATGACTAATTTCATTGCAATTTGCAACATAAATTTATATGGGAAAATTGTATGAAATATCAAACTATTAATTCAAATTAAATGTTATAGCCATAGTTTATTTTAATTGTAATTCACAACAAACATCCCTTTTTTTGCCATCTGATTCGATATACAATTAGCCATTTTCGGTATACAATTAGTCATTTTATATATTTTGGTATAAAATGCATTTGTGTTTGTATAAAGCGAGAGAAAAGTGTATATACAAATACAAATACATATATTTCCGTCCTATACACTTATAATTATACAAATACAGATCTTATTATACAAATTATATTGTATAAATTCATTTATACAAAACTGAACAATTTGTATAAAATTAGATGTTTGTAGCGAATTATACAAATCAGAAGCTCCATGGCAAACATAGAATTTGCTATAGAGCGCAATTATGTAAATAATAGCTATAACATACAAATACAATTTTTATAGTTGCTATACGTGAAAGTTGCTCAATTTATATTCTATTTGGGCTTCATGTTGTGTAGTTTGTGGGTCAAAATTTGCCCAAAGGGCATTTGGTATTTAGTTATTGGAAATGTTTGAGTGATTTGCGAGAACAAACTTGGTATGGGGTAGTCTTGAATTTTTAGATATGTTTTTTAGAAATGTCTAAAAAAACTAACATACACACACTTGAACTTATGTTTGATGGACAATAAAAATCGTGATTTAAAGATTTTGTTAAACAGATCAAAATTTTAAAATCACCTATGATATCCCATTTCAGTAACTTTTTCGAAATGTTTTGGGTGTGATAAAACTCCTTTTCAAGAATACAATTATTTTATATTGTTGAGAATATTTTTCTCAAAAAAATATTTTGTATAAAATGAGGAAAAATTACCATATTGATATGCATAAGTCATCTTCTTTATAGAATATCTTAATTTTTACTTGAGTATCCTTATTTCAATTAATACATAAATATTACTTATTATTAAATTTTAATACTCAAAACTATCATGGATAACACCATTTATTCCTCGTAAATTTGATATAAATGATATTTTGAGACTTTAAAACTTATTATCACAAAAGGAAAGTGTGCCATAGTTTTCAAATCAAGTTGTCGTTTGGTTTGCAATTCATACTAAATATGTCTTAATGATATTTACTATATTTCACAAGTTTCAAATATAACACATCCCTTTCGATGAAACAAAATATAAGTGGTATGATAAGATTATAAATAAAGTAAAATGTCCTACAATTCCATGAAAGCAATGGTTTTATCCATCCACATGAACTTTCAAAATTAGCAAAAGTAGATTCAATGTCATTTTCTTCACTAATTTTAGAACAAAAATTATAGAGACTATTTTTGTACTATACTATAAATAACACAAGAAAAGAAAAAGGTCGAAAGTTGCTAAATTAATAAGTTGTGGACCTTAAAGAATTAACAACCACATAACAACATAGAGGACCATTATTTTCAAGTTATTTCAACATTTAACGTGATCAACACGTATGTCGATGGATACTTAATTAATTAAATCTTTTATTAAAATATTTATTTCATAATCTAAATGAACATTTACATTGTCATTATATATAACGGTTGTTACATGTAATTTATTATATTATAATTTTAAATATAATATATATTTTTATCATTTTAAAATTTTATTATATTATATTATTAAATTCATTATTATGTAATATTGAAAAGTTTCATGAATGATTTTATGTGATTGCATTGTTATCTCCTTTTTGTTCCTCTATCGTTTGTGTTTGCTTACCATTCAGTAATTTTATTTTATTCTTTACATGTCTTCTCTTAAAAGTATTCAGTATCCTTTTTTAAAAAATTAGGTTTATTTTTCAAATTATTTATAATGACATTGTGACATAAGAAAAGTAACATAATCAGCTAAAATATTATATTTAAAACAATATTAAAATATACTTATAATATAATACAATAAAATATGATCTTTTTCTTTAAACATAACGAAAAGAGATGAAATCATGCAAATTTTCGAAATGCTTTTTTGAATATTTCTTAATGTCCCGACTATTCTCATAATTTGAGAAGCAGATGATTAATCATTAATTTAAAGAAGAAATCGATTTCATCAAGTAAGATCCGTTCGTTCTTTTTTCTCTAATAGATGGTCAGAATTTTATCTGAATTCAAATCTTACCCAGAGGTCAAATAAAAAATCTATATTGAAGAAATAACAAAATCTTTCTATTTTATTCCTTCCAGACAATAATAGTAATAAAATAATTAATATATTTAAAATAATCGCATATTTATATTAAAAAAAAAATACATAGTGACGATTGAAACAAATGGTTAGGCAATATAATAACAAGTTGTTAGACAACATAATAATTACTATTGTTATGATTCAATTAAAGTGTAACCAGTTGACTATCGACATTCCCAAGGACAATTTAATATAAATTCTATACATAAGCTACAACGCAGTCCTACAGAATAAAATAGGGAAAAATAAATAAAAAAAAAAACATATAGAAAGAGGTTAGGTTTAAGCACGATTTATTAAAAACTCTCACATTAGAAGAGGAAAGTAGCAAAAATAAAAATATTTAGATGAGTGTGTGGACATACTAATCGAGAGAAACAAAATTAGAAATGAACAATTATCTATAAAAATACTCAAGAATATAATAATTCGCCTAAAGATAAATTAAGACACTTCAAAGGTTCGCATGGTGGGGAAACAATTTATTTCGAGATTAGTTGTCCCAGGATTGTTATCTTCCTTTTAATATGGCATAAAAATAAAACTTAAATATCTCACAAATTTATTACAATCAAATATAAAATAAATTAATCTCAAACTTAGTTATTACGTATCTATCATATCAGACAAACCCTTACCGATAAAACTATAACTAAACCAAATCAATTTTTAATGTGAACATCACAAAAATAATTTATGTGATCGAAACAACTTTGTGATATAATAAAGTCAAAAATTAGAAACCAAATTAACACTGAAAACGACTTTCTATACTAGACTGGACCTCAAACCCGTTTTCAACTGACCCGGCCCACCCTATCTTCCACGTGTCATCATTATCTATATCCAAAACTAACAACTTAATTTTATTTGCCACATTAGCATTAAATGAGAAAATAATATTTGATTTACTATTTAAAAATAAATGAAATATCTACATTAATATAAAGTAATAGATTCTTGAGAATATTACAGTTCACTACTAAACTTACTTGAAAAATAAGGTATTATTAATTTATATATCGTGCAAATTCATGTATTATTAATTTATATAACGTGAAAAGAGCTTGTGTATTAATTATTTGTGCATACAAATTTATTAATCTAAATTAAAGGAGATGTATCATACTTTTGAGTTTTGACCAAAACGAAATTGGAACATATAAGTTGTTATCATTAACGGAAAACACCTAAATTTGTTCAATTAATATTAACCAAAATTACTTAATTTGTGATTAGTAAATCATCTCCAAATTTTCTTTGATTAACAAACTTTTTAAAATGAAATAGATGGATTTCACGTGCTTAAATTCTTTGAGAGGAATGATAAACTTTTGATTATAATTTAAAATTATTTTGAACTTGGCTAATAAGAAGAATAACTCTTTCGTAATATTTTGGGCAATATTAAATCTAAAGTTTAACAAAATGAAAAAACTACTCAATTTTACTTTCTTTGTTTAGTTTTACTTGTCATGTTTTGCTTGTAAAAATCAATTCATTTTATTGATATGAAAAGACTTGCAATTTATAGTATTTTTCCATATAGTTTTCAATCACGTAAATTTAAATTTTAAAATATTAAATTAGTTTAATTCATTTTAACTTTAAAATTAATCAAAAAATCTCGAACATAATAAGTAAACAGAGAAAATAGTATAGATCAAATTCCATTCTTTTTCATTTTCATTTTAATAATAGTGTCTACAAAGTAATAATGATATAAAACATTCTTTATGTATTTTTTTTAATTAATAAGTTTTTCCTTTCGGTACCTTTGCTTATCAAAATTACCAAAAGAATAGGTCATAAATATTTTTCATATTATAAATTAAGATAAAATATTTATAAAAAAATACAAAAAGAGATTAAACTATTTTTTTGTGAGTCCTTTAATATAACATCGGATATCTTATGAAATTATTTCTACTTAACATATGAGATATTTCTTCATTTTAATAGATTATTTTGAAATTAATAATATCCATAGTAAGGTATGCATGGACATGTATATGCCATAATTTTATTCATCGACTTGATTAAATATCAGATCGATGGATAAGATTGCGCCACGTGTCCCTATTAGTATTCCATTAGAGTGAAGGGTATATATGCTTTAGTTTTTGGACGACAGGGGAACAGTATTCCAAAAGTGTGACGAAGATTATCTCCATACCATTTATGATAGTTCAAAATATATTTATCCTTTTTCTCAAATATAATTTAATTTAATTTCAAACTTTATGCATAAAAAGATAAACATGACAGGTAAAATGGATCGGAGGGGAGTATAATAAATAAGTAGTATATATTATGTGAATCTTTATCCATTATATAATTCACCACATAATAATTCTATTTATTTTTTTGTATTTGCCCATTTCTCAAGGAAAGCACCAATAAAATCCAGTGCTCCCCTTCCCTCCTCTTTCGATCGCCGGCGAACACTGACGAGCACTGAGACTAGTTTTTCTCTAGGGTTCCGGCGAGTTGTAGGTTTTTTGAATGGCGTCGGAGGATGTGGTAGGTAAGAGAAGCGAAAGTGCTGTTACTACAATCGTCAATCTGGCTGAAGAAGCTAAAATGGCGAGCGAAGGTGTTAAAGCTCCGAGTCATGCTGCTATTTTCAGTGTATGCAAGTCTCTCGCTGCTGGTGGAATCGCCGGTGGAGTGTCAGTTTTCTATCCTTCGTTTTTTCCTTATGCTATTTTCTACTGCATATTCCTTTATTATTAGTTCCTTTTTTTTTTCTCTGTTAAGGTATGAATTCGATAAACAGAAACGAAAATTTCATTTGAAGTTATACTTGATTTTGAATATTACGAATAGTTTAAAACTAAAAAAATCATGTGCTGTTTCTAGTTTATACTCGTTTGGTTAACAGTTTTTAGCTGATAAACAGTATTGATTACTTAGGCTTGATCTTAATTTTTACTACAATAACTAAAAATATAATAATAATTTGCATTCGCTGATTCCTGTGTGTACTTGTTTTTTTCGTCTGGTATTTTTATCTGATTTGTTTAGGAAGACTGTTGACATTAGTGAAAATTTCATATTGATGTTACCTAGATTGAATTTAGTTATTACAAATAGTTCCAAATGAAAAAGTGATCTAGGTTTGCGATTTCTAGTTTATACTCGTTTATTATCAGTTATTTCTTTCATCTTTCCTTTTTTTTTGTTCTGATATGATTCTGAAGGGGGATAGACAGTAGCACAAATTTCATTTGCTGTTTACCTGTGCTTGACTTAAACCAATCAATAAAAACTTATTCTAATTCCTTCTTTTTTTTGTCTGATATGGTTGCAAGGTGGTAGACAGTAATGAGAATCTCATTTGCTGTTACCTAGGCTTGATCATTTTGGAAGTTGGAAAATAAGTTTGAACAGTTGTGTTTAGCGCATATTTGTAAATGATGATATTGAGCTTTTTAATACATGATAAGATAATAAGAGTTTTTTTTGGATCTTTTGTGAAATGAAGTATGGTTTGGAGTAACAAAGAATTTTGAATATGCTAAAATTTCATAATATAGTGGTCTAGGGTGATATAAAGAGATAATTGTGTAGTTACATAAACAAAAAAATGCATTTGTATAGGTGACATAACGTTATTATGAAACCACTTTTTTCTCGTAAAAGTTGGTCTCTGGCATATAAGTAGAAACAGGTGAAACGTGGATGACTCATGGATTCTTGTTTTCTGGAATACAACCAAGAGAACGTACTTGAAAAAAATAGAAGGAGAAGCAAGGGAAACAAGAGGCGTTGGGAAGAACAATTAATATGGCTTATCTAGATAGCTGGATAAGTATATGAAACTTGAAATATCAAAAGCATTAACTAACAATCTTAAAAATAATAATTAAAAGTAAATCCAGGTTTTTTCTTTTAGCAAAGATGCGATGCGTCTTAGTTGAGTTATATAGAATCAAGTAAATGCTAATTACGCAAAGGGTTACTAGAGGTTACTGCACGTCCATAGTACATAATAGAGGTTTCCTCTAGCAACACTTAGTAGGAAACATGCTGTTTTGATATCTAGAATGTGTTTTTCAAGTACATGACATATCTAGAGAGCATTTGTGATGGTTAGATAGAGTGCCTGTCCGGTGCCAGTGTGTCATAAGCAAGCATGCACTGATAGTTAGGACCACATGTTTATACCTACGCAGATAACCATTGTCGACTGCCTGGCATGTTACAAAGGAATCAACTAATGAGGTATCCTTTATTCCATTATCTAGTAGATTCTATCGAAGGAACCTCCCATATAGATGGAGGAAAGGGGACAGGAGAAAAGGAAAGAGAAAGAAACTGTCATCACAGAAACAGGGAGAACTGCATTAAACAGACCCAATTTGAGTTTTGTTTAGATATTGGATTCTGGGAAAGAAATGAAATGAATAGAGGACTGTGGGGTACGTGGTTTTGCATGTCTTCATATGCTTTTATGGACAATGATGTGATTTTTTTAATCTTCTCCTCTTTTTGTTTCCTGAAAGGAGAAAAGTAGAAGAAAAATGGGATCTCTCACTTGTTGCATTTCTGATGACCTCATTAACATCCCAAAATCTACTTAAAAGTAACTCCTAGAGGTGTTCCTTTCACACTATCATTTTTAAAAAGGATCCGTTGCATGGCTTAGTTTCATTGCTTATATAATTACTTCTTGATTTTGAGGATGATGGCATACTTTATCACAACAGGTTAAATGCATTTCTTTCCTCTTTTCCCTATTTCCATAATTTTACAAGTTAAATTGTATTCTTGTATTACAGGTCACGCACTGCAGTTGCTCCATTGGAAAGGCTTAAAATTCTGCTCCAGGTAAATATTCCAAGTGATTCGTTTCAGCTTACTACGTGAGATTTTTCTTCTATATCGTTGCAGATTTACTCATCTACATGAAAATTGTGCCTGCAAAGTATATGACTGATCTATATCGAGATGTATACCCAAAAATATGCATCTTTTATCATCTTAAGATAGTGATTGAGAACCCAATTGAGTATTTAGAACAAAATGTACCAATCAGATTTCAGTTGCATCTGAAGCATTGAACAAACTTGGGTAAAAGTGGTGGATATCAATTCAATTATTATATATTTATTTGACAAGTGATGCCATTAGATATCAAGCATGAATTTTCAGTTAACTATAATTTTGTATTAAGAAGTCAGAGCATTAAACTTATTTGTGTACTTACTTTTTTACATGAGTGAGTGTGATCATATAAAGTAGAATTAATGTAGATGCATTACCATGTAAATAGTTCTAAACACACACCATAGGTTACAAGGATGTTAAATTGACCTTTGTTCGCTGAAGTGCAGGTTCAGAATTCTCACAGTATAAAATACAATGGCACAGTTCAGGGGTTGAAATATATATGGAGAACTGAGGGTCTCCGGGGAATGTTCAAAGGAAATGGAACTAATTGTGCCCGCATTGTTCCAAACTCTGCCGTCAAGTTCTTCAGCTATGAGGAAGCATCCAAGTAAGCCATGCCACTTCTTTCTCTCAGAATGTTAAATCCCACTCCTTATACATCACATTCGAAGAAAAATCTCTTTCAAATTGCCATTGTACTTCTCCATTCTAGTTTGTTGATTTGTAGAAATTATTTTAAAGAGCATTACTTTAACTTACTGAATTCTGAGATACTCTACCACATTACTATTTGGACTAGCGGGATATATTTTGCTTTCGTTGGTCTCTGAATGTGTTCTTAACATATATTTTTATTAATGTGGGGAGTGATTTTGGAAATTGGAATTGACCCAAAAAAGAATGAAAGGTCAAATAACTAGGAAGAGTAGTGGGCTCTGCACAGAAGTCTGACTAATTGAAGAGTACTTTCAGTGACTTGGTGAGATGAATAGATCAATTAGAAGTTGTTCATTCAAATTTTATGGTTGAGAAGAGGTCAGTATTAATACTGAAAGATGCAAGTTACCACTCACGAAGAAAATATATTTTTTATTCGGGATTTGTTTTGGAACATTTACCTTATCCAAAAAAAAAAAAAATCCAGATTTGTTTTGGCTAATCCTGTATTAAATGATCAGTGCACTTGATACGAAGGTCAAATTCTTCATCATTGCAAGCCTGTAAAGTGTTTATATTAATTCCTTTGTAAATTTATGATCAGGGGACTTAAACATACTACTTCAGTTTTGCTGTCAGCTAGTCTGATTCCAGAAGCAGAAAATGAATTTGATTGACTAGCTGTTAGTTCCTCTATCAAACGTAAAATGCAAGAGGATAAGTTGATTTGGATGCTGATACCCCTTTTCTTGTTAATCCCTTCAGAGATGTAATTTTTTTTTTAAAATTATTTGGAGGATTGTGGTGGGGGAGTTTTCCTTCTTTGTTGTTCAATACAATTACCAATTCTCAGGAAAAAAAAAATTCTTCTTTCTTTAATGTGGGGGAAAGTTAGGAGGAAACATTTATAGGTGGGGAAGTAGTTTGATTATCTGACAGTTATCATGTTTGAGAATGAAAATGATTGTGCAAGGGATATGAAATTCCAAATATTTTAGTTAGCACAACAGTTTAATGTGATACCCTGCCTGAGAAAATTTGAGTTCTTCAGATTACTGATCATCTAAAATAACATATAAATTCTCTTATATCTAATGTAGCTTTTTTATGGCTTATGAACTCTAATATCTTCTCTGTTTATTATTTTAAAATGTTGCAGGGGAATCTTATGGTTTTACCGGCAGCAAACTGGAAACGGTACAATCAACTGACTACCCAAATTTGTCTTCATTCTATCTCTTTTTCTGTCTACATAAGCTATTAAGACTTAAGCTATTTCATCGTTCGTAGATTTTATGCTGCAAAATCTTTGTTGAGAAATATACTACTTCCATGTCTGCCAAGATATTTGTTTCATCCATCTTTTGCATGAAGAAGTACAAAATTTGCAGTATTTTATGTTGTGGCTCTACCTAGTTTTTTAGCGATTTATGAGTCTAAGCTTGTTCATATACTTATTTTGCCATATTAACTGTATTTTCTCTTATCTCCTGCAGAGGATGCTGAACTTACTCCTCTTCTACGCCTTGGTGCTGGAGCATGTGCAGGCATCATTGCCATGTCAGCAACCTACCCAATGGACTTGGTACGAGGTCGAATTACTGTCCAGGTATTGCATCTGTGGAATTAGCAATTTTACCCCACACAGATTGTGTATGGAAATGGACTTACTTTTCCCAGGTTTTTGTTAATTTGTTATGTTTCTGCTTCTCTCTGCAGACAGATAAATCTCCTAGCCAGTACAGAGGGATATTTCATGCACTTAGAACAGTTTTTGTTGAAGAAGGCCCACGTGCCCTGTACAAAGGATGGCTCCCTTCTGTGATAGGTGTGGTAAGTGATGGTTTTGATTTGACTTGCTATAGTTTCAAATTCAGAGGCACATGGTTTCTGTTTCAACCTAAAATTATACTCCTTTTGATCATTTTGTTGCTCATGTGTCCATCTCACTTTGAGTGCTTACTCATGGATTATTTCCTACAAAATTTAGGTCATGAAAATAGTCTTTCCCCGTCATTCACTAAACTAAACAGGATACTCCCTTTCTATGGATATGGAACACTATAGTTCTTTCAATGATTTTGGGTATATAAGACCTCATATTTCAGTAATAATAATTTTGATTGTTTAATCAGTCATTTACTAGTTGCATTTTTGTGTCGTTAAGTTTTAACAAAAGAGTTTTGATGTAAGTGATGAGGATATTCCAGTTTATTCAAAAGCGGGACTAGTATTGAATACTCTGAGCGTTAGGAGAGATTGTTTGTACATTAAGCTACACAGTGCTTGCCTGTAGCCTATAGGTATCCATTTAGCAACTCAATAAGAGACTGTGTTTTAGATGCTAGCTTGAAAGTCCTTAGGGTTGAGCCCTCTTGTCGAATAGTGCTAAAAATTGGGCATCCTGTTGTTTTCAAACTCTCATCAAGTTTGTTATTTAAAGAACTGTCTGACTCTATACACATATTCCACCTTTTTTCCTCACAGTTAACTGTCAGCATGGTTTACTTGATCTTCAGATCCAAACATCAAGCAGCTTAAGCTTCTACACTATTTGCCTAATTTTCTCTGAAGATTGTGTTAAGATGTTAACAAGAATGTAATGGTTTATCAAGAAAGGTAGAAAGAGAAAAAACAATTAAGTGTAAAGATATTCCCATCTACTTATCTAAAAGAACAATGTATTAAGCACATGTCGTATGTAGGTTTAACCAAATGACACCATTGCTGATGCAAGTTCAAAATGCAGATTCCTTATGTAGGTTTAAACTTTGCTGTGTATGAATCTTTAAAAGATTGGTTGGTCAAAACTCGACCATTCGGACTAGCTCAAGACACTGAATTGAGTGTTATGACAAAGCTTGGTTGTGGTGCTGTTGCTGGAACCATTGGGCAAACGGTTGCTTACCCTCTTGATGTCATTCGTCGAAGAATGCAGATGGGCGGCTGGAAAAATGCTGCTTCAGTTGTTATTGGTGATGGGAAGAGCAACACACCTATAGAGTATAGTGGTATGATAGATGCGTTCAGGAAAACAGTTCGTCATGAGGGAGTTGGAGCTTTATATAAGGGTTTGGTCCCAAATTCAGTCAAGGTTAGTGTAACCCATCACATGTTCTTTAGAAATGATTCTCTTTCCCTACTCTCCGTGTCTAGACATTGCCATGGTTTTCCAATAAGGCTAGCCTCGGAAAATGTTGTTTTCTGTCGTATTTAGTATGAGAGTGATTTGGTTCGAGTTTATATGACATTATTCTTCTATTTTCAGGTGGTCCCTTCTATAGCAATTGCATTTGTGACATATGAGGTGATAAAAGACATTCTTGGTGTGGAAATGAGGATATCTGATTGAATTGTTTGAGGAAGCTCAGGTTATTTTCTGTACTTAGATGTTAATTTACTCGGAGCAGTGAGGAAGTTATTTATTGGTAAGTGTTATCTTGTTGACTTGGAAAGGGAGAGATCCTGAGCAGCGTTTTGTATTTTATTGGAGAGATATATTAACAATAAAGAGTGGTTCAGAAGTAGCAGTAGGTGCACTTCACCTTATAGGAATCAAAATTACTCATTTGGTCAGTATTTATTGAATAGAAATTTGGGTCTGTTGATGTTCCATTTGTTTTGTTTGGTACTCTTCATCACTGTTTCTTTCTGCCATATTTTGTGGCATATTGGCTCTTGCTATGTGCTGAACTAAATATTTTGTGCCTAAAAATACTGCATTCAAATTATTACATTTCGCAGTTTTCTACCTGATGTAAAAAATTATTCTGATTTGCTCGTCTTGTGAGAGAAGTTTCATGCAATTCACAAGGTTCAACAAGCAATCAACATTTCACGATCAAGAGTGAAATACTCTTTGTAGTAGCGGTGCTTGTATGCTGTAAGATCTTGTACTTTGAAACCCAGGTTATGAACCCAAATCTGTTAGTATCGAACATTATCCAAATCCCCTTGTATATTATCTAGTAACATGAAACCTATGGCAGATCAAATGCACTATTTGTTTTTAAAACATTCAACTATACGTAATAGTCAAGCTTGGCGAAATAAGATTGCAGGTCCAACTCCTTGAAAAGTTACTCGATTCCACGTTGCTTCCAAAGCTTTAGTCTAATAGCAAAAACACAGTATCCCTAGAGTGTTGGTTCGAGAGTCAATATTCTTTCAAAGATTTCTCGATTATAAAAAAAAATGTTAGATTCCACCTTAGATAAGCCAAAGTATCTATTAACTATTCATGGCAAGGAATCAAGAATCAATTAAGAGTATAAAAACGAAAAACTCTGTAGAATGAAGTCTAGAAAAGATTTCTATATCCCAAAAACAATCTTATAAAATGCATGTACTAACAATATTACGATTCCACTAATCGATATGTCCAATGAATGAAGTTCCAGTACTGAAAAAATGGTAGCATTACTTGCCTATACAGACTAAAAGAAAGGGTATTTCAAAGAAACTAAGGCCCAGCAACAATATCACTTATCTTCTGAAGTAAAAAACGACCAATCACTCCAAAATAGAAGTACCAAAACAAAGGTAAACAGGAAAGCAAAGCAAAAATGATGTACACAGGAATTTCAAGCTGTTACTTGCCTTTTTCCCTTAGTCTTTGTTGAGATCCTTTCTATAAGATCATCATAGCGATTCTGGTGGTAATCAATCCAGATACACAACTGCCTTATCGCCTCTCGTTTTTCCTCACTCAAGTCTAACATTCCCTTATCTTTGTCATTCATCTTCCTTTCATACTCTCCCATCTTTTCATCCTTCTCCACCAACGTTTTATGCAATGTAGCTATCTTCTGTTCAAGTTGGTGAATTGTTTCTGTCAAACTACCCCTCTGAGTCACCTCGGTTTTCCCTGCGAATTCTAATTCCTCAACCTTCTCTTTTAGCACCAATGCACATTCTTTCTCATCTTTCAGTTGTTGCACTAGAGTGTCAACTTCCTTCTTCAGCTGCTTCTTTTCTTCACCTGTTACTTTGATCAAGTTCAAAGCAACCTTAAGCTCATTCAATATTTCGTAAATGCGGGACTCCAGGTGACCAGTGTCTTCCTCGAACTTCATATTGAACGTATCCATTTGAGTCAAAGTGTCGTTTACTTTATTTGAAAGGTCTGCTTTTATTTTTGCTTGAGTTTCCTTGTATACAGTGATAACTCCTGATAATGTTGCAATCCTCTCTTCCAGCAACTTTTGATGTTGCAGTAACTTCTCCTCTTTCTTCTGGTGGTCCCCTTCTTTCTCTGTCAGCAACTGTTCAGTCACTCGAAGCTTCTGATTGGTTAATCGAAGCTTAACCTCAGTGTTCCGAACATTCTCCACCAGTGTGCTGATTTCATCTCCTTTCATTTCTAGATCCCTCTTCAGATCTTCAATCTTGTCATCAAGTTCATCTATTTTCTGATCTTTACTTTCAAGATTCTTCTGGTATTCTTCTGTCATCTCTTCAATCTTTATTTCTGCAAGTTTGAGACTTTCCTTGTACTCCTGCAGCATACCATCAAGCTGTTTGTGCTCCTCGCCCAACTTTCCAAATGCTTCCTCATGTTCTTTAAGTTTCATTTCCCGATCCACAATCTTCTGTGATAATTCAGTGTGCTGATTCTCTGCGTGTGCCAAAGTCTGACCATGCTCATCAACTTTCTCGGTTAATGCATTCTCCAGATCAGATAGTTTGCTTAAAAGACTTCCCTTTTCCTCCTTCAGTAGATTGTTCTCATTGTTTGCACTGCTTATGTTTTCTTCCAAGGTACTCTTCTGTTCACAAAGGGATTTCACTTCAGCCTGGAGATCATTGATCTGTACCACTAGACCTTCCTTCTCTTCCACTAACTTCCCGAGCGCTTCCTCCTGTTCTGTCAGCTTTAATTCCTGATCCACAACCTTTTGTGATAATTCAGTGTTCTGACTCTCTGCTTGTGCCACACTTTCTGTGGACTCTTGTTTACCTCTTTCAATTGCCAATGTCAGCTGGTCTTTCTCCGTCTGCAGTAACTCTATCTGCTGCCGGGATGTATTAGCTTCTTCTGTCAAGACAACAATTTGAGCAGAAGTATCATTTTGCACATCTTCTAGTCTCTTTTGCAAGGCTTGATGCTCCTCAACTTTCTCGACTAATGAGTTCTCCAGTTCAGATATTTTCAGGAGGAAACTTTCCTTTTCCTCCTTCAGCAGACTGATCTCATTGTTTGTATTGCTTGTGTTTTCTTCCAATGTGCTAATCTTTTCACAAAGTGACTTCACTTCAGCCTGGAGATCATTGACCTGTATCACTAAACTGTCCTTCTCTTCCACCAACTTCCCGAATGCTTCCTCCCTCTCTTTCAGCTTTATTTCCTGATCCACAAGCTTTTGTGATAATTCGGTGTTCTGATTTTCTGCTTGTGCCAAACTTTCTGTGGATTCTTGTTTACCTGTCTCAATTACCAACTCCAGCTGGCTTTTCTCAGTTTGGAGCAATTCTGTTTGCTGCATTAACTTATTAACTTCTTCTGTCAAGGCAGCAATCTGAGTAGAAGCTTCATTTTGCACTTCCTCTAGCTTCTTTTGCATGGTTCCATGCTCTTCCAGTTTCTCCGCTAATGCACTCTCCAGTTCAGATATTTTGCTTAGGAGACTTCCCTTTTCCTCCCTGACCTGTACCACTAGGCCTTCCTTCTCTTCCAGCATTCTCTGGCCATCTGATGTATTCCTTGCTAATTCCTCCTTCAAAATTTCCAACTGGGTGAGGTATTCTGATGCTTCTCCAGCTTTTGCCTCGTGTTGAGATTCTATTTGAGACTTCTGAACTTGCAAATTCTCCGAATGCTCTTGCAGATTGCTCACCTGCAAAGTTAAGGCAGCAATCTGAGCAGATGATTCAGTTTCTCCATCTTCAGATTTCTTCCTTAAAATGGCTAGTTCACTTCCTCTGTCAGTTAATGCCCTCTCAATTTCAGAAATTTTATCTTGCATCATCTCCTTGTCGTTTTTCAACTGAACAATTGTCTCATCTTTGCTTGTCAGCTTCTCTTCCAACTCATATTTCAGATTCTGAAGTGATTTTAGCTCCACTTCTAGGTCCTTCACTTGTGAAAGAGAACTTTCTTTCTCTTCCAGAATTTTCAGTGACTCTGCAGATTTGTTTGCTATATCCTGCTTGAGACTCTCTATCTCACTTGAGAATCCTGAAATTTCTTGTGTTTTCTTCTCCAGTTCTGCTTCCAATTCAAGTTTCTGGCCGCGAAGAGACTCCAATTCTTGGTCCTTCTTATTCACCTCGTTTGTTAAGTCCTCAACTTCAGCTGACATCTTGTTTCTTTGTTGCTCCATTTCCTCCTCCAACTTGCCTTTCAGTTCATTTAAGGATTCAATTTCAAGCTGCATATTGTTTATCTTTGTGGTCAAAGCTTCCATCTGGGATGAGAATTCCCCTTCCTTTTCCTCAAGTTTCTTCAGCAATGCAGAGAGCTCATCTTCCTTCTGTTTCTCTATTTCTGATCTCTGAGACTGCAGTGAACCAATCTCCAGTTCCATACCTCTTAAACGAGTCGATGCTTCAGTTTTGTGAGCATCATGTATCTCCTTGTGAGAAGAGAACTCCTTTTCTTTCTCATCTAGCATCCCCTTTAGCTGGTCAGCTTCAGTCACAAGGTCTTGGATCTTTTGTTGAGCTTGCCTTATCTCCTCCGAGAGCTGTAAAACTTTCGATGATAGTGAAGAATTGTCTTCCTCTGTGGCCTTTTGCGTTTGACTTAGCTGAGCTATTTCTTTTTCAGCAGAATCTAGTTGTCCCTTCACTGAGGGAAGTTCGCTTTTTAGGCCTTCCAATTCTATCTGTAGGGTTTCTTTCTCTTCCTTCAACTGCCCCATAGTGGTTCTTAATTCCTCAATAGTACTATTGCCTTCTAAAATGCTGTTTCCCATGGCTTCTTTCTCCAAGAGTAAGCTTTCTCTTTCTTTAGTTATTTCATCCAGCTTCTGCATTAATTCAGCTTCTAATTTTGCAGATTTCTCCAAATTCTCGTTGAGGTCCACTGTCTCACCTAGAAGCTTTGAATTTTCCTCCTTCAACTTTTCAGCTTCACTAGTCAAACTGCAGATTGTTGTTTCTGCTTCTTGCAATTTCCTCAAAGTGCTCTGGTGCTCGGATTGCAAGGCCTCCTTTTCTTCGTTCGCAGCCATCAGCTGAGCCTTCAACTCAACTATTTCTAGATTTGCACTTGTCAATTCTTCCTTGATGCCATCTGTTACTTCTGTGAATTTCAGTTTACCATTTTTCTTCCCCTTTTTTCTCGTACTGCCATCTGAATCTGAGTCCGAGTCTGAGCTGGAGGAAGAACTATCTTTCTCGTGTACATTTTCCCTCAGTTTTCCAGTGAGATGATCATAACGAGCATACAGTGATTGGTAATGATTGTGAAAATCTTCAACTGCCTCCACCAGTGGTTCTTTTTCATCTCGACCATCTTCTCCTTTAAGATAGGCTAAGATCTTCTGAATTTTCTCTTCAATTTCTGCAAGATGTAAGGACCAAGTGTTAACTTTGCCTGAAGATTCCACTAGGGCCCAAAGAATTTTCTAGACCATTTATTTATACCAAGGGTGGGCGTGGTACGATAGATACTGAGTTACCATACAAAACCAACAATTTTACAGATGGATTCAGTAGCTCTTGAGCAAGATAAGTATATACCTGCTTTGGTTCCTTTCAGCTCTTCATCTTTCTCAGGATCAGCATGACTTCCAAAAAAGGACTTAACTCTTTCCCTGAATCGATGCTTTGCCATCTCTTCAAGTGTTTATGTACTTGTCAATTGTTTTTCTCTGTCTTTTCAACAATAGAGGGCTATGACCATCCCGGATAATGTAAGTTCCAGTACTGAAAAAGAAAATTGGCGTGTCAAGATTTGAGAGTAAATTTACAGGAACCAAATAAGTAATTGCTCTATGAAACCAATAATATTTGGAGATCTCTTTACAAAAGGTAGTTGAGAAAAGAATTGTCGATGTCAAGTACCAATCACGTTACACAACATGCCGAATAGAGGGGGGAAAAGAGCAAATCAAACACAAAAGAGATAAAAGGGTTAAGATATTTAGCCTTATGAATCTGGAAGTTAAACGAATAAAATACAACACCATTGTTCATACGTTCATTTCGTTTATTCCGCAACAGTCTAGTTATTTTAAGCATGGCCACGTGTCCAAGTTCTGGACACTCAATATCTTTTCCATCATGTCCAATTTCCATTCTTCTACCTAATTCTTGTTAGTTCCTTTTTCCTGTAATAAAGAACATTAATTCAACGATCTGGAATGCACGCAATTCCACTTCTAAGCTATCTTGTTCGAACACCTTCGAAAATATTGACGTGTCAAATCCTTCAAAGTAGTCTATTTGGAGCATCGGACATGGATCATTTTTTTAAGAGTCCGAGCAACATAGTTTTTAAGTAGTCTCTGCACTACCCAAGAGCAATAACTAGGAATTATATCACAACAAATATGAAGCATTTCATAATACATGGATGAGAATTGTGATCATCAGCTCAATATCCTTGTGCTAGCCATTAACCAAAAGGCCTTTTCCATTCTCATAAATGGCAATCTCATAGGTCAAAAGAAAAATGTATTGACTGAGACAGACTGAGCTGTATGAACTTTTAAGATACTGTTTGCCAACAGCTAGACATGATATACTGTAATACTCCCCGGAAAGTGGGGAACACACTCATCAAGTCTTCAACTACATTCTCATCAGGAAAAGAAAGAAACTGCAGAGAATCTAATAAAGGGGTCACATTTGGTTGTTGGATAAGGGGATCATTATTTCGAAATAAATTGCGAGTTATTTTTTCTTTAATACTTGCTACAACCTTTTCTTTTGGGATTGTTTGTACTATAATTGTGATACTATTTTTATACAATACTCTAGGTCAAATAATAATTTCAGAATTACTATTTCCAAGATAAAAACGAAAAATCATCAAAGATTTTAGAAAGACAAGGATAGGTTTATATCAAGAACTGAAATAAAAATGTATCCCAATTTATCCTGCCGAAATCAAGCATACGTCTTATACTATATCACATATATCTCATTTTAGTCAATCTAACCAAACATTTTCCAATAAAAGTATATCTACTAGTCAATACGGAAATAATTCATTTCCCAATTAAATGACTCTTACTATAAAGTATTCGGATTAAAATAAAATATTAGGGAAGACTTACAAATATTCATATTGTATGTACCTAAATAATTACGCAATTTTTCTAAAATCCTTTACCAAAATGCGCATGCGTTTACTTAAATCATTTTGCAATTATCTATTTTCAGATTCTGTCCAACGAAAGAAATTGGAATTCCTAAGGCTAAAAAGGGGAAGAACAATTAACTCCAGCTGCCAAACATGTGTTTTCTGGCGATAGGCCCTACATAAATTGGCCTACAGAAAGGAAATAGCCTATCATCAACTAACCCAAACTTTTTATCAATCATTTTAGGTAAAAATGGAGGGAAACGGCATATTCTCCTTCCTTCAAATCAAAAGTATTTAAAAAATGAGGTCAAAAGCATTTACACTTTTTGAATTCTTTATTTTTTAAAAATAATTTTACCTAAAATGCTAAAAATGTACTCTACATCTTATATTTTTTTTTAAAATAATTAAAAAGAAAAAGTTTTTTTTTTATACATATCAATATTATAGTCCGATTAATTTAAATTCACACATGACTATCTCTAGAGCAAATTTGGCACTGACAGATCCAATTTTTGGTTTGGGCAATTACAGATTTATATTTTGGCTGTTTATGACCGGCGTGCAGGTAAAACAAAGGTCAGCCTACTTTGAAAAATTAAAATGCCAGCTAGATTAACAGACGTGACATGTTCTTCTTTACGTTCCAATTGTTTTTCGTTTTTCGTTTCTTTTTATTTTCTATTACTACGAAATAGTCAGCTAAATGTCTCTATTAACGATTAACAACATTCCAAAAAAAAAAAAGTAAAAAGAGTAAAGCAAAGTGTAGTGATTTCTCTGTTCAGCTCTCCACTGAATACAAAAAAATAAGAACCTTAGTCCTTATTGATTCCAAAAGCCAAAATTGAACAATTACTTTTTCTAAATTTATTAATGAATTCGGAACCGATGTGCCTATCACATATCTGCATCTAATTAATCTGAATTAAGTTTCATATGAATGATCATACGGAAAAACTTGCGATCTGCGGATTCATACTTATCAGATAAATCAAACAGAACACAGAAACAAAAATTCATCACAAAATTAATAGAAGGCGGAGAGAAAGCTCATCAAATGAGCAGTGAAACAGTGAGAAAATTCTTCACATAGCAGGAGAAAGACGATTGAAATTCAATCGCAAAGCAGAGGAAACCTCGAAGAAACTCAGAAAACTCATCGATTCGAGAAAAATCATCGAAACCGAAGATTCTAGCAACAACTTCATCGAGTCAAAGCTTAATCAGCTATGGACTCTCAAATTCTCAATCATTCCATCCAAATCATGAATCAGAGACTCACTGAACAAGTCGCAAACAACAAAACTTCATGAACTAATCAAATTAATCCGAAAACAATAAACACGATCACAGTCTCAACATCAAGAGCAATCGAAATTCAATAGATTAACAATCAAGTAGCTAAACATTGAAAAAATTACCAAAAATGAACATCAACATCAAAAGTTGAAGCTCTCGCAATCTCTACAACTAAGAACAATCAAAATTAAGTAGATTCACGGTCAAAACACAAGCAAAATCACAAAATTAAGTAGATTAACATCAAAACACAAGCAAAAACAACAACAATTAACAGTGATCTAAAAAATACAAGTTCAGGAAGTTCAAAGACGTACCTGAAAACTACAGCTCAAAGCACAGCTTGAAGCAAAGCAAAACTGGAAAAACAAATTTAGAGAGAGAATGATGAAATCGAAAAGCAATTTTTCAAATTTGAGGAATGAGAGAGAAGAAAAAAAAGAAGAGAAGAGAGGCTTTATAGTACAGACTGTAATACAAAGCAGGTCACTTTTGAAATAGAGAAAAAGTTGAGGGGGGAAAGTATATTTGTCTGTTATATGGAGCCCTTATAAGGTTAAAAGCGACTGGCACAGCATTTCTAACTTCAAATTATTTTTGAAGGAAAAGAAGATGGAATCTTTGGAGTTTTATTGAATCTAAATTGCCTTTTAATTTTTGTTATATTACAAGAACACCATTATTTTTGTTTTTGTTTTTATTGCTATTTTAATTAAATTATTTTAAGTGGTTGCCTTGTGGTTTGGCTTGAAACAGGTCATTGTTTGTGGTATAATTTACAATCATATTCTGATACTGTGTGTCACTCTGTCTAATTACAGTGTTTGCCTTGGTTTTATTATAGTACATAGTTAATTAATTAAGTTATATATAAGTGTAATATATAATCAATGGTCATTTTTAGATCTACCTTACATATGTTGATAGTATAAACTTTATTTGTGTGAGCTTTTTTATATTATCGATTTTAAGTGAGCATAAAAAAGAAGGTTTTGATTGATCGGCAATCAGAATAATTTTTTATAATATAGATACAAATTGAAGGGCGTGATCAATGCTAACTCATTTAGTCTATTACAGTCGGATCTGAATTGGTGCATAGTTGTTATGTTATTCCTTCTGTATATTGATAATATATGTTGTTAATTAATTAAACCTTAAATTAATTATCAACAGATACTATCAATATACAAATATAGCCGTTAGAACCTGTTGTGGATTGGTGCATTGTTGTTATGTGTTTTTGTACAACGATAGTATCAGCTATTAATCAATCTATATCAATTTTTCATGATATATATGAACTGAATGACGTGGTCAGTGCTGACTCATATAGTCTATTATAGCTAGATTTTAATTGGTGCATAGTTGTTATGTTATTTTGTATAGTGATAGTATCAGCTAGCAAGTAATTTAAGATTAATTAATTTATGATGGATTTTCATTATATATGGTGTGGCGTGCGTGCGTGTGTATCTTTGAATTGGTGCATAGCTATTGTGTAATTTTTTATACTGAGATTATCTGTTGATAATCAATGTAAGCTTATAGTTAACTTACGGCGTCATTAGTGATGACTCAAATAACCGTTATAACTTGCTTTAGATTGGTGCATAATTGTGTGTATTTTTGTCTAGTACTGATTGCATCTATCAATATAAGTGTGATTAATGATGATTCATATAGTCGTTACAACTTGCTTTAGATTGGTGCATAATTGCGTATATTTTTGTCTAGTATTGATTGCATCTATCAATATAAGTGTGATTAATTTACGACATGATTAATGATGACTTATATAACTGTTCCAACTTGCTATTGATTAGTGCACAATGTTTTTGTCTCTTCACGTGTAAAGAGTTACTATTTACAATTAATTAACTCTAATAATCCATTGTAATGTGTTATTTATCCTTCATAACTTTTATTGCTTAATTCAAATGTGATATAAATTGTTATTTGAAATTGTCTTTTAAATAGTGCAAAACCTACACCTATTATAAATGGTTTCCATGTTAATGCAAGAATATAGCTTCCTCAAAATTCAAAATCCAACTCTAGTCCTTGTTTATTAAAAGAAAAATGTTGAACATACTAATTATAAAAAAAAAGAAAAAAAAAAGAAAGAAGTAATTTTCAAGATTTGATTAACGTGATTCCTCAAATACTTTGACGACATGGATCATGTTCATAGTTGGACTCTCCAATATGATTTTAATCAGCCTTAGCCCTTAAATATAAGCTTTATATATTTAATCAGAATATGTATTTTCATAAGTGATGTCACATTTCAAAATAAAAATAAATAAACAAAAAATTAT